TCACAGGTAGAAGGTGGGAGCTCTCGTCAAATCATCATCTCCAGCATCATCTTGTTCATGCCAGGCTGTTCATCCACTGACCACACACACCTGCAAACATCAGGGGACCAGTTTAACACATCTGGAAGGAAACCAGTGAGATTTAATACGACCAGTATGATATGATGTCATGTGGGGGAGTGGTGGAGCAGAGGTTACAAGATGGGCCTGTGATGGGAAAGTCGCAGGTTCAACTCCCGGTACCGTCAACATCAAAATGAGGTGGAAAAGGTGAAACACCCACGCCTGCCTCCACCCTCATTGGCCCCACCCTGGTCCCCTGAGCAAGGCACTCAACCCCCACCACCTGCTCCTGAACAGGTCTCTCTTTAAAATGAGTTCTCGTGACTCAGTGAGTCGACCTGGATAAATAAAGATCAATGAAAAATAAAGTTTAAAATAGAAATACATCATGAGGCCCAGGTTGTGTGTGTGACGTGCACGTTCCTGAGAGTGTGTGTGTGTGACGTGCACGTTCCTGAGAGTGTGTGTGTGTGACGTGCACGTTCCTGAGAGTGTGTGTGTGATGTGCACGTTCCTGAGTGTGTGTGTGTGTGACGTGCACGTTCCTGAGTGTGTGTGTGTGACGTGCACGTTCCTGAGGTTGTGTGTGTGTGACATGCACGTTCCTGAGGCTGTGTGTGTGTGACGTGCACGTTCCTGAGAGTGTGTGTGTGACGTGCACGTTCCTGAGGTTGTGTGTGTGACGTGCACGTTCCTGAGCGTGCACAGACAGAGCAGCTGCAGCTTGTGTTCACTTCCTGTAGTCCTGCAGTTTTCAAGCTGAAATGAAAAAGCATCATGAAGATGAACTTTACAGTCTCTAGTTACCTGTTCATAGAAACACATGGAGGTGTCTCACCTGGTGACTCACAATAAAATATGTAACTTTATGAACTCTAATGAACTTATAATGATGCTCCTACTCTCTGAAGGTGAACCCATGGTACCACACCATCTCTCAGTCGGACAGTCTGACCAGTTTGATCAAAATCCTCCAGTTTAAAATCCTCACTGCTCAGATGAATCCTCCTCAAAGATACTTCCTCCTCTTCCTCACATCTTGTTCTTTGGGAAAACTTCACAATGAAAACAGGACATTTGTGTCTTCACAAAAACATTGTACAAAGGAGGTCAATCTTATTTTCTATTTCCTGTATTCTCACTAGTTTTATTTTTTATTTCCTAGAACTTAAACAAAACTCCAGTTCTGATGCATATCTGTTGATAATGAACCAAAGCTGCTGAAATAGTGAGTATGATTGTTAGCAAAATATTCCTGTCATCAGATCTCAGTCAGCTTCATTGCAGCTGAACACCGTGTTACACTGAACATCACATCAGCTGGTGGACATAAATACAGTACAGGAATATTATATTCACAAAATACTAACAATAATATGTTCATCTTACTGTGAGAAGTTATCCCCCGAGACCTGACGTCAACAGTCGATCTGAACAGAAAGAAGCTGCGAAGTGCTGAGACATCTTCTGCTTTAACCAAATAAGGACGACCGTTTCAAGATGGCGGCCGAAAATCCTGCGCCGCAGCAGCCGATGAGGCATCTAGTGTTTATATCTATGGCTGCAATGATGGATAACGTTACCACAGCTAACAAACACATAAATACTGTTTTATTAACCTTACCTTGCGCTATATCTTGTAATATAACATCTGTCAATAAAGGTTGAAGGAATGAAATTCCATTAAGTTTCCAGACAGGTCTCCCGAGGGAGAATAGACCCGGAAGTACTGATGCACAGCATCGAGTCAAAAAGGAAGTTGTCTGACGTCATGTGAAAAGGGCCTGTAAGCTGTTGGCACAAGTGTTAGTTCACGCTGCAATGCATGCTGGTCCATATCAACACAATGATGGTACCGTGGGATACATTTCTTTTTAAAGTTTAGTTTGTAGCATTACTAGAATGGGGTGAACAAAGTGTCTTTTGATAATTAGTCTCTTGTTTGAATGAGACCTTGAGTATTTGTTTTCTGTTCCGTTTCTATGGCAACCTGCTAATGAACAGTTCTGCAGCTAGCAAAAGTGGCTAACCTGTGTACGACATTACAAAAGCTAAAAACTGCAAGACAACTTTTGTTGTTGCTCGATCATAATCTGTAGGTACCTTCTTATTCTTATTACCATTTTTACTTACTTTTTAATGTATATTTATTAGCTGATTAAGAAAACTTTCTGAAAGACTACATGTGCTAGCTAGGCTAGCTGTATATGCTAATTGAACTTGTCAGGTTTAATATTTCTAGTTTGTTTATTACCACTTTTTGACCCCGGTAGCTGTGGAAGTAGTAGAAACTCATTTAATAGTATGTCTTTAACTTGGAGACTCTTGTTTTTCAGTGATAAAGTTTATACTTGGAAGAGATCAAGCAGTAGTAAAAAAAGATGAAGATGTAATAAGTGATACTCTGAAGCTTTCAGCTAAGCTTATTGTGCAGTTAGCATAAACATTAGCATGCTAGGTTAGATGAGGCCATGGAGAAAACGTGTTCTGAACATTTACTGAACGTGTACTGAACATGTACTGAATATTTACTGAACATTTATGGAACATGTATTGAACATGTACTGAACGTTTACTGAACATGTACTGAACGTGTACTAAACATGTACTGAACGTGTACTGAACATATACCAAATGTGTACTGGACATGTACCGAATGTGTACTGGACATGTACCGACCATGTACTGAACATGTACCCAACGTGTACTGAACATGTACCGAACGTGTACTGAACATGTACCGAACGTGTACTGAACATGTACTGAACGTGTACTGATCATTTACTGAACGTGTACTGAACATGTACTGAACGTGTATTGATCATTTACTGAACGTGTACTGAACATATACTGAACATGTACTGAACATTTACTGAACATTTACTAAACATTTACTGAACATGTACTGAACGTATACTGAACCTGTACTGAACGTGTACCAAACGTGTACTGAACATTTACTGAACATTTACTAATCATTTACTCAACATGTACTGAACGTATGAACATGTACTGAACGTGTACTGAACATATACCAAACGTGTACTGGACATGTACCGTGTACTGAACATGTACCGAATGTGTACTGAACATGTACCAACCGTGTACTGAACATGTACCGAACGTGTACTGACCATGTACCGAACGTGTACTGAACATGTACTGATCATTTACTGAACATGTACCGAACATTTACTGATCATTTACTGAACGTGTACTGAACATGTACCGATCATTTACTAAACATTTAAGGAACATGTACTGAACATTTACGGAACATGTACTGAATGTTTACTGAACATGTACGGAACATGTACTGAACGTTTACTGAACATGTACAGAACATGTACTGAACGTTTACTGAACATGTACAGAACATGTACTGAACGTTTACTGAACATGTACTGAACGTGTACTGAACATATACCAAATGTGTACTGGACATGTACCGAACGTGTACTGGACATGTACCGAACGTGTACTGGACATGTACCGACCGTGTACTGAACATGTACCAAACATGTACTGAACATGTACCGAACGTGTACTGAACATGTACTGATCATTTACTGAACGTGTACTGAACATGTACTGATCATTTACTGAACATGTACTGAACGTATACTGAACATGTACCGAACATTTACTGATCATTTACTGAACATGTACTGATCATGAACTGAACATGTACCGAACATTTACTGAACATTTACGGAACATGTACTGAATGTGTACTGAACGTGTACTGAACATGTACCGAACATGTACCGAACGTGTACCGAACGTGTACTGAACGTGTACTGATTATTTACTGAACGTGTACTGATTATTTACTGAACATGTACTGAACGTGTACTGAACATGTACTGAACATGTATTGATCATTTACTGAATGTGTACTGAATATATACTGAACATGTACTGATCATTTACTGAACACGTACTGAACATGTACTGAACATGTACTGAACATTTACTGAACATTTACTAAACATTTACTGAACATCTACTGAACATGTACTGAACGTATACTGAACGTGTACTGAACGTGTACCAAATGTGTACTGAACATTTACTGAACATTTACTAAACATTAACTCAACATGTACTGAACATATACTGAACGTGTACTGAACGTGTACCAAACGTGTACTGAACATTTACTGAACATTTATCGACTGTTACTTTTATTGTTCCATGTTAGAAATTTTGAAGAACTACAGGTAAATTTAAAACAACACTACAAAATGGAAGAGTAACAATTTAAATGAGAGTTAAATGTTTACAAATAAACACATTTTTGGTAAACAAGTTGTTGTTTGGAGACAACCTAATCATGTTCTTTTTTTACATTTGGTTTCCATAGTAACAAGCTAACAGTAACAAGTGGCTTACAAGGTGCTAACATGTGAGTAACATGTTAATCCGTGAGGTGAAGAAAGACAGTTGCAGGCAGTCAGTATTTATTTTTGTAGACCAAACGTGTGCACTTTGTGATGCTGATTCAAGTTCATCAATTTGACACTTAGTCCGTATTTTCATACACTAACACCCCCTCATTTAGTTATTTTACATATTTATTCCAAACATAGAAAAGATGTGAGCAATGGGCCGCTGGCAGCTTTATGTTTATTTTATTATTTTTTTTATGATTGTCTACGGTCATCTGTGTTCTTTGTTAAATCAGGTCTCTCTTATAAACGAGTCCTCAAGGTTCAATGAGACTAACCTGTAGAAATAAAGGTTGAGCTGAATGTAGCTTATAAGTGGTAGTAAACTGTTATCAAGGTTGAAAATATTTATTATATATTAATAAAGCTCATGCATTTAATAATTCCATCAGTCAAAATAATTTACAACAATTTTTCCGCTTTTATCTTTTTACTTACAATTTGCTGCCATTTATAATTAATCCAATTTTTTTTTTTTTAATCCAGAGGAAGTCTTTACGAGACCAGTGGCTGATGGAAGGAACCCCCTTATCCCCAACCTCACCCAACACCCCCAGTCCTCCTCCCTCCCTGAGGAGCACCCAGGACATGGACACGCCTGTCAACAAGTATGTGTGTGTGTGTGTAAAGCAGTGAACAAAGCGTATAGGCTTCACCCTTTAAGGCTGTCGCTGATGGGTATATGCGGAGCCTCACACTGAAAAATTTAGTCCACGCCCACCTGCTGTGTGGGCCCCACCCGGTCCGTATAAATTACGTTAAGAGCAGGTAATCGGCTCCCATTTTTCTTCAGCAAGCTAATAGCACTGTCAGAAGAACGAAGAAGGAAAGTTGCGTAGAAGACCAACCTTTGTTAAGAATGCTTGGCCCGTCACGTCGTCCTCCGGTCGTCCCGGTGAGCTCTCCTCCCCGAGGAGAAGCTGACGAGCAGTCTTGTTTCAAGGTAAGCGCCGAGGAGTATTTCTCAGTGACTGGTCGCTAGACGCTGGTCAACACCATCTTGTAATTTTCCTCTTATCGCCGACCCTCGGAGCGAATCAGATGGTTCCTCCGGGACAGGCGGCGTCAGCTGCAGCCCCGCTGCTCATTCCCTCCTGGAGAGCGTAGTGTCTGTGGAGGGGGGCTGAGCGAATGCTCACCTCATCCCACCTCGTTTTGCATCGGCGATCACACCGCTCCCGGCCGACGGCACCCTCTGGGGTTGCCCGGCGTAACCCAGGAGGCGGCTGACATGAAGGGACCCTTTTTTGCATCCCACGCCTTTTCCCGCCAGTTTGGATGATCCAGCGGGAAGGTTTTTGTCTGGGCTCCATCCCGGCTCATCGTCCTGATCCCATCTGGCCTCAGTTTCCCAACAGGACGTCCTACGGGGACGAGGCCACAGCCGTTTTCCTGGTAGATTGGGGGGCCGGCTTCCACAGTCGCGCCCATCACCAGAGTAAAGGGGTTTCACTGAGCGGAAATTCCCTCAGTGCCCCCTGGAGCCGAGCCTGACGGAGACTTTTCTCTGAGCAAGATGTCCTGGCATCCTGCGCCTCCAGTTAGCGTAACCCAGACGGTGACACCGCTCTCTGACCGAGCTCACCAGCATGTGTTTCAGACGGCCGCAGCGAACAACACGTTATGCTGTTGGCGTACACATTCAGAGGCGGGAAGGGACGTACGCTCCCTCTGCAGGGCAGCTGACGTCATCCTCAACCGGTGCGCCTCTTTGCTGTCTGCCGGCCCACATCGCAGGCGGAGGACGGAGTTTTCAGCGTTTCCCTGAGACCGCCAACAGATGGCGCTCTAGGACAACAAATGGCAGAGCAAATGACAGTTTTTGCGGAGGATGTGTGAAGGTGACACGAGTTTGGTTTAAAACATCAATATAATGATGAAAGTGTCTATTTTTAGCCAGTCTGTCAGCTTGGATGACCTGACAGACAGGTTTCATGTAGTCCAGATAGATGGGCACAGCAATCCGGCTGCACACGATGTCAGTGCAGAGAGGGGTGGAGAGAGGGGTGGAGATGTTGGTGCAGCTGTTGTAAAGCTGGACAGCAGCAGGTGGGAGAAGAGGTGGAAGAATAAACGGTCAACCTTGAGTTGGATTCTTGGACTTCAGACTTAATTGAAACCAAAATGTCTGAGTTCAGAGCCGACTCGACTGTCTCCCCAGAGCCCGGCGAGGGCGGTGCCGACGCACCTGCTGAAGTCACCCCACCTGCTGCAGCTGGTTCACCACGGCCCGAGGCTGGAACAGTATCTTGGGGCCACGCAGGCGGGACCACCGCTGTCTTTGATGTTTTTCATTTAGTGGCCATATTATAGCTCCGTCGAATCAGTCCTGCAGTGACACCATCAGTCCTGCAGGGACATCATCAGTCCTGCAGCGACACCATCAATCCTGCAGGGACACCATCAGTCCTGCAGCAACACCATCAGACCTGCAGCAACTCCATCAGTCCTGTAGGGACACCATCAGTCCTGCAGCGACACCATCAGTCCTGCAGGGACACCATCAGTCCTGCAGCAACACCATCAGACCTGCAGCAACTCCATCAGTCCTGTAGGGACACCATCAGTCCTGCAGCGACACCATCAGTCCTGCAGCGACACCATCAGTCCTTCAGGGACACCATCAGTCCTGCAGCAACACCATCAGACCTGCAGGGACACCATCAGTCCTGCAGGGACACCATCAGTCCTGCAGGGACACCATCAGTCCTGCAGTGACACCATCAGTCCTGTAGGGACACCATCAGTCCTGCAGGGACATCTTCAGTCCTGTAGGGACACCATCAGTCCTGCAGTGACACCATCAGTCCTGCAGCGACACCATCAATCCTGCAGGGACACAATCAGTCCTTCAGGGACACCATCAGTCCTGCAGCAACACCATCAGACCTGCAGCAACTCCATCAGTCCTGTAGGGACACCATCCGTCCTACAGTGACACCATCAGTCCTGTAGGGACACCATCAGTCCTGCAGGGACACCATCAGTCCTGCAGCAACACCATCAAACCTGCAGCAACTCCATCAGTCCTGTAGGGACACCATCAGTCCTGCAGCAACACCATCAGTCCTGCAGCGACACCAACCTCAGGAAGAGTCCACCACAGGCAGCGAGGCAGAAATGGAAGAGGCAGTTTTTCAGGCGGGGCTGACGGGAGCTCAGCAGGACGCTGTTTAACGATCTGCCGCCTCTCGAGTTCTCTCAGAAATCTGTTTGAACTGTGAAACTTACAGAGTGGATGTTTGATTTGTTTTAATCGATTGTTGTATTTGTTTTATAAACTTTTTATTTTTTATCCGCTTAGGACGACAAATGAAATGTATCTAGTTTTATTTGTATTTGAGGAATATTGATTAATGTGCACCATTTCTTTTAAATAAATTCAATTCAACCTGTGTTTATTCCACTAAATTATTTGATTTGTACAATAGTCATTTAGAATCACAATGCTCTTTAAGTTTAAACTTGATTTTTTATTCCTTTTATTTACAGTGACATGCATGCTTACACAATTGTGTGACCTTTTCAGGTTGCAGTCAGAGAACCGGTTGGCTGAGGAGCAACAAATGGTATGCACGTGCACACACACAAATACACACACACACGTACTGTGTGGACACAAAGGGGCTGGAATATGTGTTGAACAAGCTCTACAGGACTTCCATTAGACAGGAGGTTTCTCCTCGTCCTCTCCTCGTCTTCTCCTCGTCCTCTCCTCGTCTTCTCCTCGTCTTCTCTTCGTCCTCTCCTCGTCCTCTCCTCGTCTTCTCTTCGTCCTCTCCTCGTCCTCTCCTCGTCTTCTCCTCGTCCTCTCCTCGTCCTCTCCTCGTCTTCTCTTCGTCCTCTCCTCGTCCTCTCTTCGTCCTCTCCTCGTCTTCTCCTCGTCCTCTCCTCGTCCTCTCCTCGTCTTCTCTTCGTCCTCTCCTCGTCCTCTCTTCGTCCTCTCCTCGTCTTCTCCTCGTCCTCTCCTCGTCCTCTCCTCGTCTTCTCTTCGTCCTCT